GGGCGCGGGCGTGGGGCTGGTGGGAGAGGGCAGGGACGTGAGATGCCCTGGGGAAGCACCTTCACCTGCCGCAGCGTCCGCCTCCCCGCAGCCCCGAGAAGGTGGGCGCTGGCCTTCACACGAAGGGTGCATTGTTGTTCCCAGTGTGGGGAGGTAAACTGAGGCCCAGGGAGGGAGGGCCAGTCACCCATCAGCCAGCACAGTGATGTGTGAGGGTGGATGTTGGGATCTGCCCACTGGCCTCAAGCCCAGGAAAGCGGAAGACGGGCCCAGCCCACCCACCACACACCTGACTCAACAGACTCCACCATGAGGCAGAGTAAGAGAGGCCTTAGGTGTTTACATCCCAACCCAAGCCAGGACGGATGAGGGGCCCAGACACAGCCCCTCTAAGGGGGGACTGGGCCGGCCAAGAAAATGCCTCCTCTCAAAAACTTGTTCCTTGGTCACCAGACTGTCCATGCAGCTAGTTAAAGCCTACAGCCCTGTTGCAGTGTGACTACTGGACACATGCCATGCCCAGCAATGCAGGGACATGACCGGTCAAGAAAGGCCTGGTGGGGTGTCTGCAGGTGTGGACGGCCAAGGACATCACCTGGCCATCCTCACGGGACATAACCAAGCTGACAGCCCTCTGGTCCTCCCTCACAGTGACTGGCTGTTCCTCGACACTGGTTAATGCCCACCCGCAGACATGTCATCCTTCCTAACCAGACTGGTCCACCTAACCCTGTAGGGGCCTGAGGCCACAGGGACACCTGTACTGCCCCTCCACCCTGTGGCCTCGGAAGCTAGACCCTCTCTCGCCCCTAGGCCAGGGACCTTCCCGGTCCTCTACTGGGCTCAGGCCACCCCGGAGGGGTAGAGCTTGCCCTGTCTTGTGTTCCTTGTACTATCTGGAGGCCCGAGATCCTCAGGGAGGGCCCCACACCCCAGGGGAACAGCCCACGTGTGGACATGCCACCACACCCAGTGGAACTATCTCCACCGACCCCCACCATGCAAGACCACGGAGAAGACCAGAACCACGCACCACAGGGCTCAAAGCCACAGGGTATGTGACCACCACTGGTGGTAACAAACTGGTCCCAGCATGCTTAGAGGAGCATCTGAGTTCAAAGCCATGGGGCTTGCTGAGAGTTCAAGTGCCACAGACCCTTCGTGGGATGAGGAACGGTGCGCTGGGCTGCAGAACTACTGTGGGGACGGCGAACTCTGACCCTCCACGCCCTCACCAACCTTCCCAGGGGTGATGGATCTGGGAAGGAACTGCCCCGTGCTGAGGCGTTCCCTGACAGACACACGTTTGCCACCACTTCCCTAGCTCGGTTTCTGGCTCCTGGCTGCTGCAAGGGTCCCAGTCTCTCTGGCTCAGACCAGCCTAGGGAGCTCTGAGGGGCTGCACCGGTGACTTGGAGCTCCTGGGCTGCGGCTTTGGGGACGAC